TTCTGTTGCTATCTGTAACTGTTGAAATCAAGGAAACCTGACCAGTGGGCTGTGTTCAGAGTCCATAGGGAGTTACACGGAAAATTCGGGAACCTCAAAGCATCCAATTACCCTTCTAAAATGCTGCTATTCCTGTGGGCTTAAAAAGTATTCCCATCTTAATATTTCTTTCAAAATTCATTCTCTTCTTCACATCCCTTTCCTAACCTACCCCTCAAAAGCAAAACTAAACCATTTCCCTCCACGTGTCCCCCAGGCTCCCTGTACCATCACACACTCTCCATCTCCCACCACGTGAAAAACAAGCCGTGCAGATTTGGGGCAGAGTCTCCTGATTAAAATAAATGAGCAGACAGATTTGTGGGAGAGGGAGGGGCCTTCCACAGAGCAGGACCCTGAGATCTGCTCCTCCCTGGGGACCACCCTCTGTTTGATGGTTTTTTTGTTTTTGTTTTTGTTTTTTACTTTGAGAATCCCCTAGAGCTGGATATTTTTATTCTTCATATTTTCCCATTGTTGCTTTTCTATCTCTTGTAACTTAAATGAGAAAATGATCTGTTCTCATTGACTGTGTTACCCCAAGTTCAAAGAGTAAGTAGACTTTAAAATATTTTAAATGGACGTGTTCTGTGTGCATGCACATGTGTGATGTGGGTGTCTCAGCCAGCGTGTATGTGCCACGACACACACATATGGAGTGTGTCAGAAGACAACTTTGGGGGGTCCTTTCTCCTCCAGAGATCAAACTCAGAGAGTCAGGCTTTTGTTGAGGTATCAGCCCTGCAGGCTGTGGTACTCTGCTCTGGGTTCTACACCTAGAGGCCCTGATGTGGAGGCCCACAGGGTGGGGCTTCAAGGAGCGACCCAGGGATCCCAATATGTCCTGCTGCTAGCTACAACTTGTCAAGATTCTGGCCTTAGGGATCGGACACCCTGGGTTTCATTCTTGTCTGCTCAAAGAGCTGTCTCTCATGCCTGGGCTTAGTGACTCAGGCTCTCAGTCAGTCTCCTGCTGCCCCAGGGTGCCACTGGGTATTATTGTAAGGCCGATTTCCTTGGTCAAAGCCCTTGAGTAAACCTGTTACCTCACCCTGCCCCATGTGTCTCAGCTTCCTGATACTCTGGTACCTGTGAACCCCTAATGTTACTGGGAAGCTTTGAGCCTTCAATGTCCCAGCCAGGACTCTGTACTTATGCCTGAAACCTCAGGGCAGTTGTACAGCTGCAGAGAGCTCAGTGAGCGCAGGGTGTGCCAGTGAGGATAGATGGCAGCTTTCCAGGAGAGCTTGGGATGGAGAGTCAGAAGCACCAGTCCTCATGAAAAGGAGGAGGGTGGGGAATCTCTTTTAAAGGGAGTAATGCTATGTGCTGTTTAGGCAATGGGGAGCTTGCTCACCCTTGCTTGGAGTTTCAGGTAATGCGTTAGATCACTTCATTCAGAATGCCCTGTGCTGTCTTGGACCCAAAATGTAAAATACAACGCAAATAAAGATCTAAACATGTAGGAACAAAGTAAAAGTTCTTAGAGGAAAAAAATGTTTTTGGAATATTAGCTTAGCCACAAAGAAAGAAATGAGAGACTCATTGATGCCATGGGAAATATCGTCTGTAGAGAAACTCACAGAAGAATTTACAAAAAGGACAGACAAGGGGAAAATATTTGCAACACATGGAACAAAAACTTGTAGCCATAATATGTAAATATTTCTCATAAATATATAAGAAGGTAATAAGAGAACTACAAATAGATTAATATAAATTAATTATGAGAAAGGTAAGCATAACTTACCATAACTCTAGGAAAAGATAAAAAATTGCTAGCAATTGGGGAGATACAATACAAAAATGAAAATCCGTAACTAATAAAAAATAAGGCACATATTTTTAATGCTTGTTTTGTATGGGGCCTCACCTTAGCAGAAGAGTGTGGTCTCAACTCGCCACCTTCCTGCCTTGTCCTCTCCGGTTTGTACCTGGTTTGGTCATCTTGCCTAGCCAGATGCACAGCTTTGCCTGTTCACTTGAACTGGTTGTAAGTGGCATGGGGCTGGAAGGATGGCTCAGCCATTAAGAGCACATGCTTTTGTAGAGGACCAAAGTTCAGTTCTCGGCGCTCAAGTTGAACAGCTCACGGCTACCTGTAATTCTAGCGCCAGAGTGTCTGATACACCCATCTGACGGCCACAGGCACCTGTCCTCACAGGCACATAGCCACACACACATCCACAAAATTAAAAAATATTAGAACAAGGGCAAGTCTCCAGGAATAATGAGCGTAAAGGGTGTAGATGAGATTCCTTCTTCTGCAAGATAACTTAGGGTAGCCTTTCATAAGGTGGTTCTTAAACCACACCAGCTAAAAGTGGTTGTGCTTTTGAAATAACATCTTACTTTTAAGAAATATTTCTTTATAGTCTGCTGACAAATTTGTGCCAGCACCCATATATACACATATACTCAGTTTCTCTCTTTCTCTCTCTCTCCATCCATCCATCCATCCATCCATCCATTACTCTATCCCTCTCTTCTTCTCTCTCTTTGCTCTCCCCAATGTTTTGGTCATAATTAAAAGAAGGAAGAGGTATTTTTTTTTATAGGCATGTGCACCAGTGACTTGACTTCCCGCCAGAATGGCATGGATACAGTTGGGGGAGGGGAGCTCCAGCGGAATTGGACTGTTTTCTTCTATAGTGTTTATTTTTTTTTTAATTTCTACGATAAAATCCTTTTCAGATGAAATTCTCTTATACAGGAAGGCCTATGGGATTATGAAAATATAGCTTAGTTTTCTTTGCTGCGTCTCCACAGCTTTCCACATTCAGGAAAAGTTAATTTAGAAAGAGCTGTCAAGCGAAGGGTTATCCAAAGGTCTGGGCGGCTGTCATATTGTTGTCCTCTGTGTCTGTAGAGCAGTGTGATCTCCTGGCCAAAGGAGACTCCGGTAAATGCTAGGGCATGCTTTAACCTGGAGAGCAGTTTGTGGCGACGCTGTCGTTTCTTTATACAATAAAAAGTTAGTCAAACAGGGCCTTATTGAACATGCAGCCTTCATTTCTAAGCTCAGCTTCCTTCGGCCTGAGTAGAACTGGCTCCCTGCCTCCTTCACGTTCTGTACAGAGGTTTCTGCCCTTGGATTTGTGACTGGACACATGGCATAGATCCCCAGGGCTCTGCGGATGTTCCCATGGTCCTCTGCAGCCTGTGGAGGCCTGTCTTGCCAGCAATTGCTCTCCTCAGGGAAGGCCCAGTTGGGGCTGTGTGTATGAGCACCGTCTTTGGGCCTGAGTGTGTTCCTGAGTCCCTCTTTGTTCTTCCTCTTACTGTTGAAGCCACTGAACTTCCTGCCAGGCACCACCATGTGCTAGACACTGAGAAGGCGATGTAAGCCACAACAGAACTATGTGTTCATAGTTTCATGAAAAACACTGGATGTACACTCAGTTCAATATCAGGCCAGAAATGCTGAATCAGGCAGGGGAGGGACTCCAGACGTGTGTGTGCATGGCATATTAATGACTGTGAGAAGTCATTTGTAATGTTAGTGTTAAAAACTTGCCTTAACCTTACCACTCAGACGCTGAGCCTGCAGGGTGGGGATATGCTAAGTCACTTACAAAGGCAAATCTTCCCAGGGCCAGAAGCTTGAAGCTAGTCTCTTAATAGTTATTTTCCCTTTAATGCATAGCTCCTGTGAGTTGGGCTCTGAGAAATTGTACTCAACCAGAGAGCTGGGTGGGTTCATTTTCTAGAGGGATTGTGTAGGAGCAATGTCCTCAGCTCTGCTGGAGTAGAGAGCTAGATGGCAGATGTCGCCTCACAGGAAGGGAGTTGAGGAGATGGTTTGAGCTGTCCTGAGGCTGGCGGAACATGAATAGGTGCCCATTTAGCAGCTGCCTGTGGTGAGCTCACTGGGCTGGGTTTGGACTCCATTGTGTCAGTGAGGAAAGTTGTAGCCAAAATCCTGGGGGCTGGTAGGGCCAGCAAAAGATTTTCTTTTTCTTTCTTTTCTTTTCTTTCTTTTCTTTCTTTTCTTTCTTTCTTTCTTTCTTTCTTTCTTTCTTTCTTTCTTTCTTTCTTTCTTTCTTTCTTTCTTTCTTAATTTCTTTCTTTCTTAATTTCTTTCTTTCTTTCTTAATTTCTTTCTTTCTTAATTTCTTTCTTTCTTAATTTCTTTCTTTCCTTCCTTCCTTCCTTCCTTCCTTCCTTCCTTCCTTCCTTCCTTCCTTCTTTCTTTCTTTCTTTCTTTCTTTCTTTCTGAGACAGGATTTCTCTGTGTAGCTTTGGAGCCTGTCCTGGAACTCGCTCTATAGACCAGGCTGGCCTCGAACTCACAGAGATCCTCCTGCCTCTGCCTCCCGAGTGCTGGCATTAAAGGCGTGCACCACCACCGCCCGGCAAAAAGATTTTCTTAAGGCTTTAAGTTTGAAGACCAGGTCTTAGAACTTCGCCAAGATGAGCAGAAGAGATCTATGGGACAGAGCATTCCCAGAATCTCCATGTGTCCAAACAGTTACAATACCAAAGCCTTGCAAGTGACTGACCCACAGCATCTGCAGGCAGAGTTCAGGTGTCACCCCTGGCCCAGCCACACATCAGCTTTATGACTGCATTTTCTTCTTCTTCAAAGTATAGTCATAGTTTCTGTGTCCCCTATGGGACTGGATCTGAGGGGTCAGGTCTGCCTGCAGCTGCAGGAGCTGTAGAGCCACAAAAAAATGCAGGTGCTGGGGTTGGGGATTTAGCTCAGAGGTAGAGCGCTTGCCTAGCAAGCACAAGGCCCCGGGTTCGGGCCTCAGCTCCAGGAAAAAAAAAAAAAGGATCAGGGAGTCAAGGCCAGAGTAATCAATATAACAAGTTCAAGGCCAGCCTAAGCTCCAACAGATCCTTTGTCAAAAAAACAAACAGAAGAATAAATTAATCTGTCGAGGCAAAAAAAAAAAAAAAAAAAAAGAATGCAGGTGTTGGGACCATTGCTCATTAAGCCTTCCTCTTCCTTGCAGCGGAGCTGGAGTTCGCACAGGTCCTCATCATCGTCGTGGTGGTCACGGTGATGGTGGTGGTGGTCGTATGCCTACTGAACCACTACAAAGTCTCCACGCGTTCCTTCATCAACCGCCCCAACCAGAGCCGGAGACAAGAGGACGGGTTGCAGCCGGTAAGCGTGAGCCTGGGCCCCGTTCTGGAGTTGCCGACCCAGACAGGGTATGGCCAGGGCCAGAAGCCAGGGGAGCTCACCCCAGTACAGAGGTGTCAAGGACTTGGGGTTGATGGCGGACACAGAAAAGTGCGTACGTTGTATGCATAGAGCTCCGTGGATTCTCACTTATAGCCAGTACCCAATCAGGAAAGTGGCATAAAGCCCTTCCAAAGCTTGCCCAAGTCCTCCATCTGTGAAAGTCTCCATTTGTTTATTGATCATTAGCCCTGATTAGTTTTGCTAGCTGTGGCCCTCACACTCATGAGGTCTCTTTCATGTCTGGCTTCATCCACACAATACTAGGTTATGTATAGATTTTTACTTGACTTTAGTCCTGGAGTTGGTCTAGGGATAGGTAATGTCCTCATACGTTTCCAAGCATGTCTGCAGTTCTTGGATGTGAGTCAGCTGAAGGAGACAGTGGGATAGGCAAGCAATGTATGCCTTTTTAGGTAGAGGGAATGGGGTGGACTAGAAAAATAAGATGCTACAAGCCATCACATGAGGCTCCTCAGTTTGGGCTTTTTAAGTTTTTATTTCTTGCCCCACACTTCTTTCTCCCTTACTAAACCAGTGTGATGTGTGGCTAAGCTGACCCATAACCAAACTTAGGAGGCCTGGGGCTGCTGGGCATATTCTCAGCCTGTTTTATAATCTGTAATTCTGCTGACTTTTAGCTGGAGACTTGGAAATAGTGCATTTAAGTGACTTTAAGTTCTTAATGTCAGTGTAAGACATAGGAGGCATCTAGTATTCATCTTTCATTCTTGTCTTAGTAGCAGGAGAGAGATACTTTATGGAGTTTCCTTTATTAGGACCAGAGATGCCCAGCCACCGCTTAAGGGGGGCCCTGACTTACGAGAGGCTGTTGTTGGTATGGGGTGTAACCGTTGTAATGGGTAGTGTGGGGTGGCCGCTGTGCATGGGGCCCCCTCTAAACAGGGCAGGGTCTTGCTTCATTGGAACCACAGAGTTGCCCAGGGAGCCTAATAGCTTGATGGCCCTTATGCACAAAGGTAAATGCAATAGGGAGCAGGAAGGGTATGCATTTCTGTATCCTGTGTACACCTCACACCCGAAGTCCAGGCTGGGGCAGTGATGGCGGACGTGATTTGGCCTAACAGTCCCTTTTCCTTCGGGCTTCCTGCATCTTCTCTTGCTGCCTTCTCCAGGCTCTCCTGGTCCCTAGTTTTGCTTACCAGCTCCCCTGGGCCTCCTTGATTGACCTCTTTATATACTGCAATGGCTTTCTGTCGCTTGTCACCTGGTATTCACGCGTCCACCCCTGACGTCACACGTCACTGTACAAAGACAGCTCAGATTTTGAAAGAGAGAACAGATTCTTCCAAAGTCCTGAGCTTGAAGAGGACAAAGAGCATCTTGTTATAGCGGTCATTTTAGAGCCCCGCGCGCGCGGGGTCTTTGCTTTGCCTTATAATAAGGGTTGTGGGTGCCGGCCGCTCCTTGGCAGATGTGGTACAACTCTCTCATGTTACCATCAGCAACAGGCATCAGCACTCGGGTTTGCACAGATTGCCAGGAGTGCTTGGTCCCGGATGCAAGCTCTACTCCCTAAGTAGGACCCAGCAGAGTTTCTTTTTCTAAAATTCACCCACCTGCATTTCCTGTCCTGCCCTTTGTGCTCCAAGAGTCCTCAAAAACTCAGGGTCCCTGTCTGGGTGACACAGGTTTCTCCGGTCCCTTGTCTAGGCCCCTCCTTTCGTCGTCGTCTTCTTCTTGGATTTGCCTAGATGAGAGTATCGTCAGCTTCCAAGTGTCCGTGTCCCCACAGTGCAGACCCAGCCCCATGCTCTCTCGCCGTCACTGCCCTTAGGTGTTGTGTCCTGGCCATAGGCTCCACGGTCAGGTATTTCCCAACCAAGAGGCCTAGCAGGAAGATAACTCAAGAGGGCCAAGGAGCAAAGTTCTCCTGTGGTTCTACTTAGAAAGTTGCTTCTCCTTTACCTGGTGGTCCACCCTGTGCTGGCCTCTCTGGGAGCATGGAGGCCACGGGCCAGGAAGTGTCGGCGTGCTGACTGGCAGGAAGCTCCTTTCTGAAAAGTGGGAAGGTGACTTGGAGCAGTCCTGCCAGGATGCATATTGAGTAGCAACAAAGACAGTAGTTCGTGAATTTTATCTACCGAAAGGGTAGTTCTGTTGGTAGATGCCTGTAAGCTGTGTACAGAGAGCTGGGTTCTGCTGCAGAGCAGGAGCCTGTAGAGAGGCATGCCTTCCGTACCTGTGTTTATGAAGTGGGTGTGAGAACAGTGTGGTCTTTCATTCCTGAGCTACTGTGGAGCCCTTTTTTACTTTCCTTCTGAGTGATCCAGAGCTGAGTCCCATCCCTCCCTGGGACTTATGCATTCTTTCTCTGTTCATCACAACTGTAGATATTGCCTGACTTAGGAAGGGGGTCCAGTCCAGGCTTCATAAAATTCAAGGTGTATTTCAATACTGTGATTGGGGGTGCCCCGATCTTAGACTGTGGCTTGAAGTCCTGGGTAGGACTATTAGCATAGCTTATGGTTTTAAAAATGGGAGAGAGTGGAGGACAAACCTTCCTTCTTGCCTGTACATACCTGAGTTTCCATCCTTTCTACCTCTTAACTCCTTCCATGGAATGTTCTCTCTTGCTAGGGCTAGAAACACACGTCATTCCTTTGTAAGTCTGACTCTCAGTGAGGGGATATTCTGTAGAGGCTGGGAGGGTGGGACAGTTGAGGATGTAATGCTTCAAGAGATAGCCTGGTCATCTCAGAGTGCACAGGAGACCCCAGAGAAACTGTCCCCTTAGTGCTCAGTGCCACCTGCCCAAGTGCACCATTGACAAGGAAGGCCACCGTCATTGCAAGCAAGTTCCTCTGGCTGCTTCGATGTGTCCACAAAGAGAAGAGTACACTTCTCCCGTATCGCGGGAGGTGTAGCTGTTCTGAGACTCCACATGGTAGACACTTTGCCTAGCCATTTTTATCTGCCTCTGTGTATCCCGCCCTTCACTGGACCTCATCTTAGCCGGGAGAGCAAAGTGACCAGGAGAGAGCAGCCAGCTCTCATCCTACCTCAGTGAGGTCAAGGCTCCACTACCACCCTTTTGATCCTACTGGAATGCTTAGGTCTCACCAGCCCCTTGTGTTTATGAAGCGGGCATGAGAACCATTGTCTCCTCTACTTCAGTGATTGGCCCCGTCTCGACAGCTTTGGTTACATTTCCAAGGTGCCTCCCTTGGCCTCTCAAAACGATAGTCTGTGTTCACCATCTTCCCAAAAAGAAGTAGCAGGAGCTGGGTAGTCACATCACGGAAGAGGGGATGTTCTGCTCTTGTTTACATTATGTGGCCAGCCAGGTTGCTCCTGGATGGGTTGTTGATTTGTGGAACTTGGGGCAGAGTGACAAGTAAGGATGAATGTGGATGTCCACTGTGCCTCTGTTGGGTGGTTTCATATCTGTTATCCAAGCCCTGTTCCTAGGCCCTGAAGTACCTTTGTTTAGCTAGCACTGAAGTCCCGGGCTCACCTCCCCTAGAAGCGTGGGCAAGTACCTTAGACACCCTGCCACTTGGCAGCATGTAGATACAGAAGGTCCCTGCCAACCTTTCAGTGGGGATCCTCTCCTTGTGCTGAGCCTGAGTGTTGCAGAGATATTTAATGTTTGGGGTCTTTTGCCTACTTATTATTACAGACCCAGGTGAGGTCGTTAGTGTGGTGGTAATGCTGTGTTCATCTTAAACTGGCTGAGAAAGAGCCATCTTTCTTCCTCTTAGTGGGCATCTTACTTTGATCAAAAGGAAAAGCCAGAATGAAGTAACTTGTCCTTGTTAGATTTAATTGTCAGTCTGGCAGCCTAGAGTCAGTCATCTGAGAGGAAAGCCTGGACCGAGGAGTTGCCTAGATCAGATTTGTCTGGGGGGGGGGCATTGTCTTGATTATTAATTGATGCAGGAGGGGCGAGCCCATGCCGTTCCAAGGTGGGTGGTCCTGGCTTGTGTAAGAACACTAACTGAGCATGAGAGAGAGTGAGCCAGCAGCCAGCAGAGACATTCTTCCAAGCTTCAAGCTCCTCCCTGAGTTCCTGCCCTACTGCTTCCCTCACTGATGGATTGTGAGTTTGGGAAGTGTAAGGCAAGTAGATCCTTTCCTTCCCAGGTTGCTTTTGGTCAGAGTGCTTTTTATCACAGCAGCGGAAATCAAGCTAGAACATGCATAGAACAGGATCTCCAAAGTCTGACTGGCCTTGGGTACTGGGGACAGTCCTGTGGAAAGACACTTGCATTCCAGCTGCTCCCGGACCTTGAGGCTGTCCTCTAGACAGCACAGTCTTGAGGGACTTCACAGAAAGGAGACATGATGCTCCTCCCTCTGCTGCCTCTCTTTTCTCACATTGCCAACAGCCTTGGTCCCTTCATTCTTTGGGATGACGCAGGTTTGAAGCATGAGGAGGGCGCCACGGACCTGAGGTCAGTCACCCTCCCTCTGAAGTGTGGGTGCCAGGGCTGACCAGTGAGAGTCACTGAACAAAAATGAAAATTTGTACCCCAGGCCCACATGAAAGGGAAAGTAGATGCTCAAGTGATAACTAACAGAAGGAGACAGGTTTGTGACAGGAATCCTTTTGTTTTTCCTGAGGCACTCTCAACTTGTTAATAAGTGTCTTGTTTCGATGGGTTGGAGCTTTGAGACCATCTAGATTTCTTTCCTTTATCTGAAATTACCAAATAATGGGAAAACAATAAAAGACCCTAGGTATTCCCCACCCAACCCTAAGGGATAGTTGCCAGAATAGCCTAGGCCAGTGGTTCTCAACCTTCCTAATACTGCCACCCTTTAATATAGTTCCTCGTGTTGTGGTGACCCCCAGCCATACACTTATTTCATTGCTACTTCATAACTGTCATTTTGCCACTGTTATGAATCATTATGCAAATATCTGATATGCGACCCCCGAAGGGGTCATGACCCAC